TACCATTACCTCTTCGCTTTGTAGTGCTATCTCCTCCTTTTCCTTCGTTCATGCCCTCATCATATTACTTTGTATTATACTCTCTCTCTCATTCTCGCGCTCGCCAAAGTTGTCATCGAACAATCAATATAGATTGCAATCGAACGCATGAAACCTGCCATTACTATACGTACTTTACTGGATTGGCCGGAAAGCTGCATTGCACTATCACTCGTCATAACTATGTTCATTATGTCTTTTATGCGTGGCGAAGCATAATTTTTATGATATTCTCATTGAACAATTGTTTTTTCATCGTTCATTTTTGACTTTTTTTCTGACAATAATCTCCTTCTGATTCTCTACAAATTTATTAATACGTCTGGGTGTGAGTGTAGGATAGATGTTCTCTTTCCCGACAGCAACACCCGTATCATTCAGATATACAAGCATCGATACTATAGCTATATTCAAATCCAAATTTTATCATATCCTCTCTACTATGGCATGTATAGAAAAGGAAGAAGAAAAAAATGTCGAAATAGAAAATGTCAGCAAGTAAAGTTAAATTGTTCGAATGTGAATAATTTTATTAATATACCAAACATAGAAAAATACGTTAGACAATAAAAAAAACTAAAAGGAGCGTGCAGGAACAGTCGCTATGTGTTGAATAACGAAAACCTTTGTGTTTTGCGACAACTAATAGAAAATGAGCTTATGTTTCTTGAAGTTCAATTTCATTATTGGAAATACCATTGGTTTATCTCTAGCATAGCGTACACTATATCGAGCAGCTTCTGTTCGGTTGAAATCACATAGGTTTATCCATACGTTGTTATATACCATTGTTTGCTACTGCTTTTGGTGGAGCTTGAACACCAGCATTCATTAGTGTTAGAATATGTTGAAATCGAACCTATTCTTCTTGGAGACATTTGATGAAAGAACAAATATTTGAATGTGATCTTTAAATTGATTGATTTAAGAGGCTATGAAAGATTATTAAGGAAGATGGGCGCTAGAACCCATTCGGTGCAAAATTTTTCAGATTTGGACCCGATTCATATATTGCTTCGAAGGTACGGAATACTTTTTTCGCTTATTTAAATTAAGCCACTAGCATGTCCTAGGATATCTTAGCGATGATCATTTAAGAGTGTGGACATAATCGACTGCATCTTTTAGAGTAGCAACTCTCGGGTCAGACACGGACCCCAACGGATGTGCACCAATGAAACACACTTTCAACAGTAAGGTGTCTGTTGATTTCTGTACCATTCTCCACTAGAACACCAGCATATGTTGAAAGTTTCACGCGATTCAAATCTGTTTGACCCAAGATTGGTTTTTGAGGGCGAGAAGGAGGTGTGCATGTTAAGTGATTAAAATCTTCCTTATCATCTGAATATTGAAGATTTTTAATGAATTTTTATTATATCATTGTAAATATTTTAATAGACTTTGTGTGTGTGCGTATTAGGTGCAGTTGAAGAAGTATTATTGATAGAAAGACAACAATAAATTATTCAAAATAGAATTATTTTCTTGAAATTTTTGCTCTTAAGGTTTCATTCATTTGTTGCCATATACCACTTGTTTTCAAATCACCTTTGTTAATTGGTGTACGATTAAAACTTTTTAAACCAGGTAATACACATAGAACATAAAATCGAAGAAAAGGTATATCATCTTCAATTGGATTACGATATAATGTTAAATGTTCAAGTTCTTTTAATAAAACTAACTTATGAATTTCTTTTAGATTAACAAGAAGATTTTTATGAAAATAAAAATGTTTAAGCGATGAAAATTGTGTAATAACCTTTAAAAAAAAACGAATTAAATCTATATTTATTGAGAATAATAATTTCTTACAATTGGAATTTCTGTGAATAAATTAAATGATAAATCTAATATTGAAAGAGCATTTGGATTTATAAATGTCATTTGTACAAAAATAGGTAATGTATCCAAAGAACCTTTTAAATTATTATGATTTAAATTAATTCCATATGCATTATATCGATAACCTTTCTTAATAATATTAGGTGCACCGGATGTTACACGTGGTTCAGTCGAAACAGCTTCTATAAATATTTATCAAATAAATATTTCAAAAAAAAAAGAATTTGAAATCAATTTAAACCTTCAAGTTTATGTGCATCATGATATGAATAATCAAGAACAGGATAATATTCTGTTGAATCATCGATACATTTTTGTATATTTGATAAAGAATGTTTTAAACTTAATGTAGATTTCATCTTTTAATCAATAACAGTCTATCCTGTTTATCCATCGTAAGAAGTTGCTAAGCAATGACACACCTGTGCATTACAATGTATATAGAACGAAGGCTGCTGTTCAGTGATCGAGCATTAAATTCACCGATTATGACAGAACAGAGAAAAAAACCATGTATATATATATAAACAAATAATAAACAAGAATATATTTATATTTAGACATAGATATAGTTTTGTTCGTTTAATTGATATATATATATAATAAATCAATGACTGCAACAACTGGTATAAAATTCGAATCAGTTGGTATATAAGAATGATAATTAGAAATTCTTATCTATTCACAGATTTTTTATTTTTCACAAGATGAAGAAATGCAATTTTGTACGCAAATGGTCAATGGAAAATTATAAATATATTTTGATGCTCTTGATATGTTCATTTTTATTTTCCCTTTTCATTTAATGATAAATGTTCCTAGATGAATCATAAATAAAATCTAAATCTAGTAGTCAAAAATGTCTTTGACAAAATCTATTAAATAAACAAACTAGGGTGTGAGTCTTCTTTTCATCTCCACCCATCCATTTCTTTCAGTCACAGTGACACCAATCTGTATCTAGTTTCCATTGGCACACAGATTTGCACTGTATAGTAATGGTGCAGAAACAAAACATAATTTCATTCATTCACATTGGATTAATGTACGTCAATGAATACTGATATTCGAAATAGAAAACTTTGATTGAGGAAGAGAAAATAACAGTTTTACTCAATTTTCATATTGAACAATGCCTTAATAATGAATATTTCAAAAGTTTCGATCCCTTCTCGTAAACTGACATTATTTATACAAATACATATCATTTGCAAAGAAAATAGCTCGAGTTTCATTTAAGATCATGAAATGTTATAGTTATTTTATTAAGAGTAGCTAAGCAATTTGTATTGTAGAGTTTTTAAAAATATAAGATATGCTTGTAACATTTGAAACGAAATATTGTTTTCTAACGATTTTTATATGATTCAATAGAATTTGACAAGCTCTACAAAAATATAAATGTCAAAAAATAGTGATTGTGTTTTTCATATAAAACTTGGAAAAATCTGGGTATGGATATGAGCATGGTTCCAGATTGTTTTGAAAAGTGGAGGGGGCTAAAAATTTGGCAGAAAGTCCAAAAATTTTGGCAGAAAGTGCCTTCGTATGACTTTCTGGCATAAGTAAGCAGAAAGTACTAAAATTACAGACTTTCTGCCAGATTTCATCAGTAAAAGATGTTTTTGTTCGACTTTCTGTCAGAAAAATGGCACAGAAAGCTTAAAAACTAGATTTTTGACGCAGTTTTTGAGGAAACTTTCAAAAGTTTCGCAGAAAGTTTTTTAAATTTTGCCAGAAAGTCATACTTTTTTTTACCCTTTGGGGGGGGCTAAACCCCCCCCCCCCCAGCCCCCCCCCCCTAATCGGTAACCGTGGATATGAGTGTGAGGAACGCCGAAAGCTGAACCGACACACCCATACCCACATCCTAGTAAGATAGATAAATGGATCTCTCTATCTATATAAATTCATGCCCATGTGGACACCAAATGCAAAATAGTCTCATCGAGCAGCGTTTTTATTGTATAACGTGTTCACAGTGGTTGAGATGAATTTTTTGGCTCATCTAATTGGCTGAAACCATGTTGAACATTTTCTGTGCTAGGAAATTGCAGAATCGCTATATTCGCGATTTAACAGTTTTTGGGATGGAACAAATTTCTTAAAACAGCTTCAAAAATTTTCAGTCATCACCTGCTATGTCTGCATAAGCCTTCACCTCTAACTCTGTTATCTCAAGAGCTTGGTCGAATTGCAAGTAACATACTTGAGTCTGACATGTTTTACTTCAGTCACAGTGATATTGAAACACAAAAAAACACTGTTATATTATTTTATGATAAAAAAACCTTAATCAAATCCTTAAATATCATTGAATCTAATTTTTGTGGGCATTCAAATTTCAAAATTTGGACTGATAATCTTCAACAATTGCATAAACACTAAAAGTTAGAATAGAATAGATGCTCTACTTATCATATTAGAACATTTGAATTCGGAGTTGTTGTCGTCATCTGATAAAAATATAGTTGCTATGATGTTTTATACAATTTTACAATTGATTCAAACATTTCATTTAGTTTTAGAAAATATTATTTAAAGACTTCCTGTTACATTTTGAGAGATGTTTGTAAGCGAAGAAAATTCACAAACAATAGATGTTTATAATGCATGATATAGAACGTAGTATCTTGTGCTGTGATATATACTACGTAAATAAAACAATAACATTATAATAAAGACATTTGACGTGAGAGAACTTACAAGTGAAGTATATTTTTACTCTATCATGCTCACAAGTAAAATTTCTTATACGAAGATAAGAGCATAACCATATCTTTAGCGCTGGATATAATACGACTTATCTTTTTGTCACTCTTCTGAGAGTAGTAGACAAACATAAAGCAGCTTTGAAGAATAACTCGTTTGTTTTTTAATTGAAGTCTTTTACAGAACATCATATGCATACTAACAAGGCGTACATTGAATTCGCCACTGGAAATAATAGAGCACGCCAATGGTGGCGTCATCGTTGGATTAAGATCATCTGCATCTCTTTTATAGTTTTAACAATTTTAGCAGTTACTCTTTCTCTATTGTTAAAATTCGTCATTCTTGCTCCGAAGAAGCCAGACAGCATCACTACAACACCATCGACAGTAACAACAACAATGTCAACACCATTATCATCAACGTCAACGTCCACATCCACATTCACATCAACACCAACGACAACATCAACAACAATTACCACTACTCAGCAATCACGTAAGTTTTAGAGTCGTGCTTTTTAACCTAGCTAAATGCTGATTTTGAAGCAAGTATATGTAGTTGCCTCGCAGCCAATGTTACTCTGCATCTAGCTAAAGATTACACTAAGAGAATTAATGCTTTCATCACGAGTGATTCAATCCTTATCATAAGAAAAACAGTAGTGTCAAACCTGAAATATTTTCCGTAGCTCCCTTAGCGAGAGAAATACATTGTGTCTATGTTTCTGTGGCACTCTAAAAGAGAGAAATGTCTATGTGTTCAATTATTGAATAGTTGAATTCAACTTTCAAGTTTGTCATATATGAAGAAAAAAACATATTGCCAAAAAATTCGAAAGTGTATAAATTTGAAAAAGAAAAATAAGTAAAAAAAAAAAGGTGTTTTAATTGTAGATAGGGTTAAATCATTGATTGCGATGTCAGTTTTCTGAATGGACATTGACTATCAGTTCTAGTTATTTCTCTGATTTCTTGACTCAGATATTATCAACGGATCAGTTTTGTTCGTAAAACATGAGATACTGACTGATAAATAAGGTTGAAAAACGAAGTACCTTTCATTTGTTACTATTACTTATTGTGGAATTATAAAGTAACTTTTAGAGATACGATGGTCATGTCTCATTTCCTCGAGTATTTGAGTAAGTTCTGCAGTTGTTTTGAGGAATCGGACGAATTCCTAATTTTCCGTTCTGAGATACTTCTGTTTTATTACTAGTCAATTATAACGGAAGAATTAATCTAAATAGCCGTTTTTTGAATGATTATTTTGATTATACCAATGTATCAATGTACTAAAAATGTGTGATAAGAAGCGACTAAAATCGTATGATAATCGATCATAGTTCTTTAGTTTTAATGGAATATATTTAATCATTTCTAAATATAAACTTCGTTGGTCCGATTATTCGGGTTGTTATAATAAAGACGGAAAAAATATTTCTGATTCTGCGATTTTAAGTCATTGTAATTAGTTTGAAATGATGTTTGAGATTATAAGTGATTTACAAGGAGAATAGGTAGTTCATAGGCTTCGCAGAATTGTGGTTGAGTTTTCAGTGATTTTCATAAGTTATATGATTGAGGTTGATTTTGGAGAAATTTGAATCATTTTTTTTCTTTCAATATTATAGCCGTATTTAATCGAAATAATCATTTAAAAAGCGATAATTTTGATGATTTTTTTTATTCAAATCGATTCGTAATCGATAAAAACATTTGTATTAATGTTTTGCTATTATTTCTTTACATAAGTAAAACTGAATGAATTCACAAAGAAATCATACCTAATTGATAAAATAACTATCATAGAGCCATAGCCGGATTCTAATAGGCAGATCTGGATTTCGAACACGATAGAATACTATCCGTATCCTTTATTCGTTATAAGTCTGAAACAGTGTTCAAAAAGATAACTGTTTCTGACTGCAGAAATTGGCCGAAAACGGAGATGGAAATCGATATTAGCTCTAGTGGCAAGAAATCGTCGAAAAATTCAAGGATATAGCTATTTTCCAATGTAGCTTTTTCCAACGGGAAGTTTTATTAGCGCAGTTATAATCAATAAGAACTGCATATAATTCAAAATCCATTAGTTCTCGTAAATAATGTAACGACAGGTAGAAAATACAAACTTAATTTATCTCTTATCCATACATACGAGTCTTTTTCAATGATCCAAAACCTACTGTTGTACTGTATCATGAGCAATTTCTGATTTCTTAGAATAAATTCAATACATTTTTTGGTTCTAGAAATTCAAAAAACTTTGCATTAAAAGTGAGAAACAACTTTCATTCTACAACATCTAAAACTTTCCACACATTCTTCTCAGAAAGAATAAATTCAAATGATTCTATCTAGGATGGTCTAATACTGGCAGTATGAATAATGCACGACATGAACACACAGCATCCTTGTTAACAAATGGAAAAGTATTAGTTGCTGGTGGTAACAATGGTCATGTTCTAAATAGCGCTGAGTTGTATGATACATCAACAGGAACTTGGACAATTACTGGTAGCTTGAATACCACACGATATGGACACACAGCATCCTTGTTAACAAATGGAAAAGTATTAGTTACTGGAGGATATAGTGGTAGTATATTTCTAAATAGTACTGAGCTATATGATCCATCAACAGGAACTTGGACAACTACTGGTAACATGAATAGTGCACGAAACTTTCACACAGCATCCATATTAACAAATGGAAAAGTATTAGTTAGTGGCGGATATAGTGGCATTAGTATCGTAAATAGTACTGAATTATATGATCCATCAACAGGAATTTGGACAACTACTGGTAATATGCATAATGCACGAGATGGACATACAGCATCCCTATTAGCTAATGAAAAAGTATTAGTTGCTGGTGGCTTTGGTGATCATACTTTTCTAAATACTGCTGAGTTGTATGATCCATCAACAGAAACTTGGAGAACTACTTATAACATGCATAATGCACGAGAGTATCTCACAGCATCCGTGTTAACAAATGGAAAAGTTTTAGTTACTGGCGGATCTGCTGGTAGTACTACCATAGATACTGTTGAGTTATATGATCCATCAAGAGGAAGTTGGACAATTACTGGTAAAATGAATAATGCACGACATAATCATCAAGCATCCTTGTTACCAAATGGAAAAGTATTAGTTACTGGCGGATCTTCTGGTAGTACTATTCTAAATACTGCTGAGTTGTATGATCCATCAACAGAGAGTTGGACAATTGATGATAGCATGAATAATGCACGAGATTATCATACGGCAACCATATTGACAGATGGAAAAGTGTTAATTGCTGGTGGAACTGTTGGAAATACTACTCTAGATACTGCTGAGTTATATGATCCATCAATAGGAACTTTGACAATTATCAATAAAATGAATAATGCACAAAATAATTAACTCCCCTCCCACAATAGAAGCCTCTATGAGCTTCTATGCTGGGGTGGGTTACTAATATGACTTTCGTACAGAAATTTTGAAAAGTATATAATGGAGTTATTGTTTCAATTATCTTGACTATCTATTTGTGATAAGTTCAAATAATCTTACAACATTCTGTGAGATTTAATATAAAGATACACAAAACACATACTATTTTATGTCATAAATTACAAAAAGAAGAATGCGGCGAAAAACTTCATGTACAAATATGCATAATTATACTACTTCTTCCAAAAGAAGTTTTAATGTTGTGGGTAGGTGTGGACATTTGTCTTCTTTTGGCCTACACCTACAGCCACACCTACACCCGTGTTTTCTTTATCGTTGGAATCATCCACAAGCAATACGTGAGACGTTTTCTAGTACACTTTCTCACATGTAGAGTGCTTGCCAATGTAAACTATCAGTGCTGAGAGAAAGACCGACTTTGAAAAAACTCTGAAAACTCTTGGATGTAATACAAGCTCTGGGCTTCTAATAAATTTTTCATATCGACCATTCTCTGGGAGACTTCTAATACGAGAGGGAGTTTACAAAGCATCCGTATTAATAAATAGAAAAGTGTTAACTAATCATGGAGATAATGATTATCTGAATTTTGGTCGGAACTAAAAATGTTGAAAGTAAACTGTCAATAGGAAAAATGTCGAAGAATGATATGAAGATTTCTGAATATTTTCTGAGTCAGAAAGTTAAAACTCAAGCAGCTAAATTCGAGTCAAATGTTTATTATTCAAAAAAAGAAAGAATGAAAGACAAACAAAAGTACTTTGAAATATTAGTTTATCGACCTTAAATAGCGTTTTTTGCTACAACTATAGACAAACCGTTGAGGAAATCAGATGCCGTAATGAGATAATTATTATATTCATTATACAACGTGTTTATTCGACTTTATAATACTGTTGTTCGTTTGCATCTTTGCTTCGATATAACAAAAGACAATTGAAGGTTCTTTCCTAAAGAACAGACTCGATATCAAATATTCTGAGTAAAAGCTTCGCAATATATTGTCCTATATAATGTACTCAATGATCATGTGTGATAAGAGATTTTTTTTGTGATCACGATCATATGAGTAATCAATCACTATGTTCTTTTTTGCTACAATGAATATCTAAGAAAAAAAATATTTGAAAATGAAATACATTTAATTTTGATAAATCATCACAAATCATTTCTTGTCATTCATATTCATTTATGTTTATATGTCGTATTTCGATTTTTATATAATATAAATTTGATATAGATTGAAAAATATATTATAATTCATTTAAATCATCAATACATTTTGTATTTAGCACTGCGAATGATGGTAGCTTGTTTCTTAGCGATTAATTAAAAAACACATGTTCAAAAATGAAATTTCGACACATTGATATACAAAGATTTTTCAAATAAGGTGTGCCTTTCAATAAATGAATTAATTTATTTATAGAACAGACAATAATTAAGGAAACTTTGATCCGAAAAATGAAAATAGACAAGTTTAGGTACAATCCAAAGAATTTTGTCTAACTGTTCGGTTTCACTCATACTCATAACAATCTGATCAATTTTTAGACAAGTGACATGTTAAGGTTGAGACAATTCTAATATGATTTGATTCAATAGATTAGAACGATGAATATGATATAATGAAAATGATTTCAAATGAATAAATTGATAAAGAGTAAAACGATATGCAACGAATTGATCTACTTCATATGAAATATCATCATCATTTGAAAGACGAAGTGAAACAATTCGATTGATTATTCTTGGAAGACGTTGGGTGTGGGTGTAGGTGTAGGTGTGGGCGTAGGTGTGGGTGTGGGGTGTGCTAGGGGAAAATAGCAAGACTTCATCTACTTCAGAAGTACAGTGAAGTACGATGAAGTACGGTTGAAGTACAGCTGAAGTACGGTGAAGTACGGGCAAAGTACAAGTGAAGTACGATGAAGTATCATGAAGTACGACTGAAGTACAAGTGAAGTACGATGAAGTACGGTGGAAGTACAGCTGAAGTACGGTGAAGTACGACCGAAGTACGGGTGAAG